GCTCCGGTAAATACATCATCTTTGTTTGCGAAAAGAATAGGTATTATTACTAATGCAGTTGCTAAAAGAATCAGTACAACTGTTAAAATTCCAATTATAGTCTACAAGTGGCGTTCACGTACCGGGGGCATTTCATTCCATGAATTCCTGCACAAATTATTTCACCTTCCCGAAATTGTCCAATACGAGCGTTCGACGGCACTCTCGTACACTTGTTCGGTATAAGCAGTTGACACATTGTAGATGTTTTTACTGTATACATCGTCAGGTGCAACATGCCACAAATTAGAAACGGTGATTCGGCAGTCATCAGTCGGGAAAGAAGGTGAGGCTGAGGAAAAGCCGTCACCTCTACCGTAATCCTGAACATTTTGTGGTAGCCGTACTAAAGTGAGAAAAGAAACGCAACTTTTCTTCGACATGGGCACAACTTGTATTTTTCTTTTTTCGCAGTGAAATTTCCTCGATTTGATTTTATTCGAAAATTTACCTTTTGCAGATTTAAAAAAGTGGTAAATACTTACCTTAGTAAACCTAATTTTAAATTAAAATAAAAGCGAAGAATCAAAACGATTTCTCTCTAAAACAGACAATTCGAATTTTTTTAGAAAAATATAATTTTTGAGGACATAATTTTTTGCACAAAATATAGAAACTGCAAGGTGTTATCTTTTCTGCACCAAGAGTTGCGGTGCGATTAGCAACAGTAGACCAAAAAAAACCCCTAATTGAAGCTGTTAGTGATCACACCGTAACTTCTGATGCAGAGGAGATACCACTTTGAATTTTTCATGTTGTGCAAAAATTGTCTTCAAAAAATATATCTTTTTTAAAACTTTAATATGTCTGTTTTTTGAAAAAAACCGCATCAAATTTGAAATACCTTCTTTGCTTTTATTTTAAACTAGAATTAAATTTGCTAATGTAAGTGTTTTACCACTTTTCTGCATCTGCTGGAGACAGACTCTCGAAGAAAGTAAAAATGGGGAAATCTGTTGTGGATAGAGAAAACTGAAAGTTCTTTAAGGTGATCATGTCCAAGGTGATTCACATTTTAGCACAGCCTATCTTTCCCGCCAACGCAATTCTTAAAGTAAACCTTCTTGATTTTAAAATTTGGTATTGAGTACTACAAGTGATTGAAAGATAGATTGTTGCGAAAGAAAGTTCA